GTAGACAACAACGAGACACATGGATTTTTCTGGGAAACACAATATGAAAAGTCAGTAAGTGTTGTCTTGGCAGTCTTTGCAGTTTTTTTCTTGTTTTAGGAAAATGAACTGCGGTAACAAAGACAATGAATTAAATTTGTTTCCTTTCCTTTGTTATTCAGTCCTCTTCGATGTAACAAAGAGTGTCTGAGGAAGCAGAGACAAGCAGCTGTGTTTGTGCTGCTGCAAGACAAAGATGGAGCAATGATAAAAATAAAGCAAAAACAATCACTTGACGGATTGCTGCCTAGAAACGAGACACGTTTAGACGGGATACTCGCACACAATTCCCTGCACGTATCAAATTTAAAACAGCCTATTAAATTGTGTCTAAGTAGCTAAATCTGCGAATGCAACTGGTCTCACTGAACTGCTCAGCGACGCACTACTGTTTCGGTCCCGTTCTGCTCTGCGACTAACTCTGCAACTACAGCAACAACTGATCCAGAGATAAAATGCTTAAAAATGTTTTCAGGTCCGCACAAAAAAAGTAACCTACTGACCCAACACTGGTGCAGTACACTCACACTGACAGTCTGAGAACACAAGGAAATCAATTCCTGCCCTCGTGTCGTCTCTGTACCTTGCCAACCCTCACTGTGTACATCTACAAGGGACTGGACTGGTGTCGGTACTGGCAAACATCCTTCCCTGAACTCAATACAATCATTGAATGTGACTGGATTTATACAGAAAGTGGTAATTAAGTGTCTGGATGGAGACTCTGTAGTTCCAAACAAACAGTGTGTCACAAAGCAAAGCAAAAAAAAATTAGGTCGTATCTTCACAATATGGAGTATATTCTTCTGGCCACTCTGCATGACATACACACATATATTTGCCCTATGTGAACATATGCACATCTTAAGCAGGAGGAAAAATGTCAGTTTCAATAGCATTTAATTTACAGCAGCTTTGTACAGGTGATCTTTTGACCTCCACATTTAGAATGAGTTTATAGAAAAGTGAGAGAGCTTTAAAGTTCCCAACCAACCAACAATTCATTCCCTACCACGTCAAGACAAACCTAAACAATAGTTGTCTGCTTTTGTTTTTTTTTTTAAGCTGCAGTACACATATTTCACTGCAAACATAGCCAAAGAAAAAAGGCAATGATGACTGTCAAAGTCGAAGACAAGCATACTACACTTGCAGCAATTTGCAACTGTGCATTTAGAGGAGTGGGAACTCGATTTGTACGACACGTAGAACGTTGATCGACAAATGAATCCAGCGCGACAATGATGGCTTTTACTTGACAATGATCTGCCTCCATTCACGATTCTTTTTATGACTCACGTGCATAGACAGTTTGACAAACATATGCAGATTTGTGGTTGTGTTTTTGTGGAAGGAATCTGCAGTAACATTTCCTTCGATTAACCGATGCTTTTGTGTATGGCACCTGCGTTAGTACGTAACACAAGTGAATATATCATCTGTAGTTGTGCGACATCAGAACAAAACAAAAGTATATCCCTGTTAGAGAAATCAACAAAACATCACCAAATGAAAAAAGTTACAAAGGGATAAAAACTGCATCCTCTAAATAAAAGGGTGGATCGTCCTGTATGCAATGTTAAGCTCATGCAAATCATGAGTGTTTCAATGTGCAGTACCAGATATTTCTTTTAAAACAGTCAGATTTGAAACCTCTCTGCTATATGTATTCTGACATGCAATGTATAGCAATAGGTACTTATGTGTTTCATATGTGCTTGATTTGTAATACTATGCTTATTGTCACTGATATTTGTCTGTTTTAAAGATACAAGTGTTGTTATGCACGTTTATGTAGTTACTTTATGTTTTGCATATAGTTTTACACTCAAACTTTCTACATGTTGTTACGCTTCACCGCTTTGTTTTCAACTCTTTCCTTTGTTTTACTGGCAGCACAGCCACTGTTGAATATGCACTGCACTTAACATTTAAGAGGAAAAACTTCTTGTTTTTGTTTAATGCATTGGACCCCAATCGGTAACTAATAGATGAAAAATATGCCGCTTGTCTCGGGGCATTGTTGTTAGGGTATTTACCTGGCAAATAAAGTGTACACAGAGTATTAAGAGACGTCTACGGAGATTACAACAATACATCCAAGCACTTCCCTGCCATATGGTAATAACTAATAACATGTGTCTTGGAGGTCGTGTCAACACTGAAGTGAATTTGGAAGAGTTTTTCACACAGCTGCACTCAATCTTTTAAGCAGAAGGTGTGGCTTCATAAGCACGAGTAAACCAAATCCTTGCCTCACACAGGATGGGAAGACAGTGAATGACGGCATGTTTTGTATTGATAAGTACATTTTTTATTATATGCCTCAAATGGTATTATATGGAGTTAGTAATATTATTAAATGTAATCCTGACTTAGCTTTGATTTGTTCTTTTTCCAGAAAACAAATGTGAACTTGGCCAGGACGAGGGACATAATGCTCTCTTATCCAGGATAAACCCCGACCTGTCCACTCACACTGGATCAGGAGCTTCTTACTGACCTCAAGTACCCCAAAATGTGGGAAGGTTACAGCAGGTTCGCTCCAGAGAAACGTACCCTATGTCATCTCGGTAGACACGGGAGATGAGGACCTCCCCCTTGTGGTTGTAGATGAACAGTCCTCCAATCATTGTGGCTGCTCCTCAATCCCAACTTGCCATGGTGAAACCAAACCCCTCCTGAGAAGAGACAGAAATGAAGGAAGGAAAAAGGGGAAGGAAAGAGGGGTGAGAGAGAAGTGAAAGCAGTGAAACTTGAGGGAGAGACCGACAGTACAGAGAGGCATTTGTCCCTCACATCCGCTTTCTCTGTCTCTTTCAAAAACACACACACAGATCACTCTATTGCCAGCTGAACCTATCCTGCAGCTGCACCACTGTGGTGACTCATTTTTGTTGGATGCATGTGCATACATTCATCAGCGTTCCCTCCAATATAGGCTTTAAAAAAAAAAGGCTACTACCACTCTCACCACAGGCTATTTCTTGTTTTCCTCCCAAGTGAGATTAAAGGCAGATTAGTAGCCACGAGTGTGAAGCAGGATGCCTCCAGGTAGCCTGCTAAAATCTGTTACTCTTAATAAGTACCGTTTTACTGCCAAAGATTGCCTGGATCTGATTAGGCTAGACACGAAACCTTAACTAAGACTATAATCTAAAGACAAGTAAATTTCCCTAAAGCCAGTGTTGCTGTTAAACAATTGATCTGTTTATGGCTTAGACCAACAAATCAAAGGCAGCTGCCCTCGTTTCAAGAATGAAGCTTCTGGAAATCAGAGGATGAAGGACATGTTTGAAATTCCTCGAAGGCAGAATCGGCACACTTTACCACATGGCTTTCAGAGGAAAAACACAGCTCCAACATAAGCCCAAGATTAGTGAAATATTTCCCCGTTAAGACACTGCTGAGTCGTGACCGAATAAACCGAGCACCGGACCTGAGGGGGTTTAATCGCCCATTTATTGGCCAAGTCAAGATGTCTGCTCACTCGGGCCGTTTCCTAACGTTCATACATTTTTCATAATTACTCGTTTGTTCCTCGGCCAGACACTCAGGTTTGCCCGAAAAGCTTTGTTTTAAGCCTTCTTAAGTGGCACTGATGAAGGCTTGACCTTCAGCTAGGATCAAGTGATGGAGAATACACCGAGTGAGAGGTAGCTAGCTAATTTAGCTAACGATAGCGGGTTAGCTGGCGGTGGTGTTGAGTGGACCTGCGGATCAGTCAGTTTGACGGCTATTTAACATGTAGCATTATTAATTACAGGACACTTACGACTTAACTATGTACAGAACAAAATATGCAAAGGCAGTATTAAGTCGCCGATAAATGGCAGAAACAGCACGCTAAATGCTTTTAGTTTAAAATAAAAAAGATAGCCTTTCCGTTATCATGCTAGTTATAGCTTGACGTTAGCTTGCGCAGCGGCGGCTAAAGTTGCTAACGCTAGCATCGAATGAAACCGTTTCGCCGGCTTTCCTTTACGGTTCCCGGGCCGTAGCTGATCATTGTGACGCGGAAAAGATCACCGCGTCGTCTGTGGTGAACTTACCCTAGTTCTCTCACGAACCCCACCAGTCTTTCGCTCCCCGCTTGGCCTTGAAGATAGCCCGTGTCAGGATCCAGTGGGTTCCCAGTTCACACACCCGCTAATTCCGCTCCTTCCTCCCGGTCCTCTGATAGCTGTCAGCTGACCCGCCGTCCTTACGCACGACCGTTCCGCTGTGACAGGAAAAGGCGCGGCTGGAGCGGCGAGTAAACCGCACCCAGGCCCCGTTGTGATAAGCTACAGGGGCTACTGGTCAATTATTATTAGTTTCATGGTAGTTCATTTGTGACTTTGGTGTTTTAAAGCTTATACAAGAAAGCACGGTGGGCTGATCCTCTTTTAAGAAGTGTTAGCATGTGTTCCAGTTACTTAAACACACGAGTTGCAGTAACTTCTGAGTGAGTGTAAGCAAGGAAGTGAATGTTCCTGTGGGGGTTCAGCAAAGATCATACTTTAATGTTTGCATTAATGGATGTGTAGGTGGTCTTGTTTCATGTTGACCTGTAGAGTCATTTATTTTTTTTGTCCAAGCTGAATCAAGTCGCTTCTCTTCAGGAGTTTTTCCGCCTCAAACCACAGGGAAGGTTTTGCATAGGGTCGTTCAGTTCTGAGGCAAATCTAAATGTACACACAGGCTGATCTTTTGCATACACCCACTGCCCACAGGCACACACACACACACACACACAGGCACACACACACACAGACACACATCTGCGCACCAGACTGCCTAACCTTCACATTCCTGCACTTGGACAGTCTGGAATCCACTGCTCTTAAATGCAAACATGACCTGAGGTACCTTCCAAAAAAACAAAAACAACAACTAAACAAATAAAAGAAGTTTCAGGTTGCAATTTCCTGCCTTGCAAATGTACACACACACACAAAAACGTAACACAAAGCAGCAACTTTAAGTCATAAAACTATATTTATAAATAAAAAGACATTTTCCTTAATAAAAGAGTAGTGTGAAAGACATGGTAAGAAATTTTTTTTCCACTATACATCATCACAAGACAGTCTGAAGATTCTCTGGTTAGCAGATGAAAATGCAGTTGTGTAGTGTAAAAACCACTCTCCAAGCTGGACGCTCATGTTAAGCATTGAAAATGAAACTAGTTGTGACCAACTACATATATAATAAAACAAATGTATTCTTACAGTAAGAAGGACTGCAGTTTTCTCTTGCACTACATACAAATCTTTCCATTTCTTTCTCTCTTAAGTCAAGCAAATATTTTAAAAGTTTGAATAAGGTTAACAGTTAGTGTTCATTTCAGCTTTCTTTCAGTTTTTTTTTTCTTGTTTTTTTTTTTTCTTGTTAGAGGTCAGCGAGTGGGGATTGAAAGAACGGAAGGAGGGAAGAGGCTTCATTCTCTCTCAGTTTTGACGTGGACAGGAATGGGGGAGGACAGAGAATGTTAGATAAAGGAGGCAGAGGAGAGGAGGGAAGAGTGACGAGAAGAACAAATGAAAAACATCCATGTGGAAAAGCGCTGAGTCATCTTCCCCAGCTGACCACTTCCACTGCCTCCCTCCTTTCTCCTGCTCTTTGTCCTCACACTAACTCTTCCCCGCTGTGGAGCAGAAACGGAGAAAGGCGCTTTGGTTCCATCTTGAGCAAAGAGGGGTGGGGGGGTTCTTCATTGAAGAAAGTATGGCCACTACTACTAGGAAGAAAAGCACAAGAGTGGAGGAACTTTTTTTTCTCTCAGCATACACAGCAGGGTTGGTTCCATTTCTGCTTTTAGAAAAGTGGAATCAAGGCCTTGGGTTACAGCTTTTGCAATCTTCCCTCCCCCCTGTTCCGTCATGCCGTCAATTCTCAGCCTGACGACAGGAGAACGCTCCATCTACGACTTCGTTACCGACCTACAACCCGTGTCACATCACATCAACAAAGAACTCGCCGGCATTGCCCACCGCCATGCGCAGAGACTGGCGCGACGCCGTGAGCTCAGGGGGCACCGAGGCGATCTCTCTGCCTGGTGGGGCACCAGGTGCAGCTGTAGACAGATGTGGGGGCTGGGGGGGCAGGCCAGGGGGGCCATAAACAAGGCCAGGCCCGTAGGCTATCGAGTGGGAGTTGGCACTGCGGTGGCTGACAGAGCTACGGATGCTTCGCTCACTAGGGGGAGCCACGGAGCGCTCGCTCGGAGCTCGGTGGCTCCTGATCTCAGTTTCGCTGCCGCTGCCGCCGGACTTCCGACCCTCATTCTTGCTGCAGTTAGAACCGCTGCTTCCTGTGAACATAGTAAAAGAGATCATTTTATTAACCGAGTGTGATATACAAACACATCATGTTCTTGCATTAAGCATGAGACCTACATGAGCCGATCACTTCCGTCTGGGTGCCAGTGACATGACACAGCCAGCACTGACCCAGTTTGTGGGAGACTCTCAGGAGAGCTGCATGACTAATGCAGACATGGTCACGGAGCATTCAGTGCCTTTCACAGGCCAAAGAGCTTAGCTGTTACCAAAGGCAATTATAGGTTTTAATTTTATTACCACACACAGTCTGCTTGTTTTTATGGTAAATTCTTTAGACTGGCTAATTTAAAACCATAACAGTTTATATGATTAAAAAGTGAGGAATGTCAAATCCACGGACCGACGAAAACATTCCCATCAATTTGGTCTCTCTGTGACTATAAGAGAGACAGAGATGGGTGATGTTAGCCTAGCTTAGCACAACCACTGGAAGCATGGGAAAACCTCTAGTCTACATCAAAAGTGATAAAACACACCTTAGAAAGCCCCAAGCTGTGCTACATACATGCTGTATCTTGTTAGCCTGTAAACTACTAAACAGTACTTTTAAATTACAGTAGTGTGCCACCAAAGATTGAGGACAGGACATCTGAGATGTTGTGTGTCAGTGGGCCCAGCTGTTGTTGGTCAGTAAATATCTCCAGTGCGTAAGAAAACTGCTCCGAAAACCACAATGTCTGGTTTTCTATTTTTGCACATGTTAAACACACACAGTCCAGTATGTAAATAAGGCAGCTTTGGGATTGATGGAAATATTTTTTTCATGCTTGACAGACGTTGACTGTGTCCTTTGAGTCTTTGAAGTAATCAAAACATGCACTGGATCTTTAAGTGTATTCAAAGCGTGGACAAAATATTTATGGACTTCTTGTATCATATAAAAAAAAGCAAAAACACTATTTCGTCAAATGCATTACTGCAAAGTGACACTTGACCCAAAGTCTCAGCATCCTTGGAAAGGTGTGTAGTTGGCTCCTTTACAAAAAAACGCAGAACTAGCAATGATTGGTTGTCCTCCTGTAAGCTCTGTTGGAAGTATTATAGTAAACAGTGTAAGTATACTGTGTAAAACACAGTAGTGCCTCCTGCACAACAGGTAAATGTAATATGTAGCATTTGCAGATCTTTCTAAGATTTTTACCATGAAAACATCTTATCATCAAAATCAGCTGTTAATGGCATGAATCCAAGTTCACGACCGCAGATTTTCTTTGCAGAGGAGCAAACTGCAACCTTTACACATCCGCATTCCAAATCTACAAGGGGTGAGCATTCAGCCCCTTTGACACGGAGGTTGTGCTACAGTGTCGATAAGAAGACTCCCTCATTATGCCGCCGTCGCTCGCCTTCCCTCACTCAGACTGAACCAGCTTAATGCAGCTCTAGCTTTCATCTAGCATGCTGGCGTTGTGTAATCAGAGGCATGAAGTGTAAGATAACAGTGTCAGCGTCTAGTGTGGCGTGTTCCGCTGTGCTGGCTCTATCTTTCACACGGATGTCGATTTGCTTCTGTGATTGCCTCCGCCTCCAGCGTCGCCTCTGTAACTTATGCACACAATAGCGAGGCAGAGTAAAGCCAGCCCTGATCAGGCTGTGTGAAAGTGTGTTTTGATACTCGAAAGACGAGATTTTATATGCAATATTTCCATATTTATGAAGACACACATAGTTTTTGTGTTTTACTTTTTATGTTTTGCTGATGAGCACACAGAGTTTAGTCAAACTGCACTCACCACTGTGCTGGCTTCCTGCACTGCCAGCGCCTGGTCCGCCATGGAAGGGCTGTGGCAGGTCGTAAGGGTGTGGAATAGGGAACTGGTAGGGCAGGGCCATGGGCCAGGGGGCTGATCCAGGGTGAGGCAGTGGGGGCAGAGTGTCCTGATCTGAGGCACCCCCACTGGAACCATCATGATCATGCAGAGACAAGTGAGTCATGTCTGAGAGGAAACAGAAAGAGAAAACAGGTTTAAACTTGGCATGTGTAAAATACTTTCTACTTCACACTACAAGCTGACTTTATAGATGTTGCAAGAAAAAAAATAACAGAAAAAACAGGAAACTGACTGCCACAGAGGTCTCCAAAGATGTAGTAGCACTGTTCAGAGAAGGTGATCTTGTTGACAGTGTGTCGGATGTAGCCAGCCTTCAGCAGGTTGCTGGCGTATTTACGAGCCTCGCGGCGATCTGAGAAGCCTTCAACGTGATGAAAGAGCCAGTCCACCACATCAGAACCTGATGCACACATTTTAGAAGAAAAACAAAATGAGTCATTACATTACATACCTTTTCCTGGACTATTTTACATCACATTATAATATTTAAGATGATTATGTGAATAGTGCATACTTATTTACAGAGTATTGTTTTTAATAATGCGTAACTTACAACAATTACGGCTAACTGTGTTCATGGATTACTGGGCTGAAGATATTTGCATTGGTGTACTAAACATTTATTAACTTTGTCTAATTTAGTCAATTACAAATTCTAAATAGATCCCAGAGGGATTTAAACATCACTTCGGCCACATCAGTGAATCACTGACAAACCACACTCTACAAACGGGACTGAGCAAATAAGAAAAGACAGATGTGAGTGTGCATTCTGATGAGGGAAATAACAAATGCTGAACCATGCTTTGAGAGGCGTACCAATAAAGGCGTTCGCGATGGTTATCTTGAGCCACATCCTGTCCCGCACCTCCAGACCTGACTCTGGGCAGGCCATGGCCTTAGCAACTGTTGCCATGTCGCTGTGGATCGAGAGATGGAAGTCATCGAATCCTAGGAGAGACCAGAGGGCACATGTAAGTGAACACATCCTCCTGTAGGAGTTGAAATATTTAGGTTTCAAAAGGACAAAAATGTGAATCTGCATCAGAGCAAGAAAGTGCTGAATTCTGTTGTGTTTGTTAAACATTGAAAGAACAGCTGAGTGATGTTATCTGGACAACTACTGGCCTGTTTTGGATTTGCCTCAAATAATATTTGGTTTCCTGTGGTCTGGACTGTAATTTTACCGCTGTTCTGTCTTGAGAATGAATCAAGGCTGGATTTGGCTGCATCTTTGTTTGAACTGGACTGCAGCTGAGATGGTCCTAACAAAACCCTGAGAAACTGAATTCAATGTCTTCCCTTGAACACCATCAGCTTTTACATATCATCCATCCATCCATCCATCCATCCATCCATCTGTATCGTTTAACTGAGCTTATTTGCATTCCAAAATATGATATTATAGTGTTCATAATTTCATTCTTCATTACTTTTCTAATTTGTTTCCTAGGATTCACTGACTACAACATAAAGGTGTTTAACACTTTCATACCAGATATCCCACACATGTTACTTTCTCATTTTAATAACTTGCTATCAAGCACAAGAAGCTGCACATTAACAACAGTTTATCCAAAACTAAACATTTTAAGTGGCTGCCCTTCAATCTATGCTTCTTCTGGGGAACTGCTGCAAAACCAAAACTAAACTCGGCCACTAATCTTTTAGATATTGGATTTTTTTTTTTCCCTTCTAAACTTCGCTCACTTTTTTTTTTTTTTTTTTAAACACATCTTATCGTATGTGACTGTACAAAATTTATGTTTTGCCTGAAATGGAAAATCTCCAAAAATGTGAGTCATATCATAAGTTGGTTGAAAAATATCCTAAGGGAGGAAAGACTTTCCTCCAAAGATGAAGCGAAAACCTCAGAGTTCTTCCAAAGATTACAGGGAAGATGAAAGCTGTGAGTTATGGCTCCGTTTGGACAAGAGTTACTGAGCAGATGGAAGCTGTGAGGCTGAACACAGTAAAAGCTGGAACGGAGAGCAGTCACAGGAATGCAGTGAAAGGGCAGGGCCACACTTGACGCAGCGATTTACTAACACTTCACAAGAACATAGTGATATGACTGCCTTTTTGGAGGTCAGTGGGTGGAGGTTCACAACAGACAGTTGAAATGTTCAGAAAATGAATCCTGAAACATAAACAAACCTGCAGTGCTTTATTGCTCTTATCATAACTGTGTGAATAGTCAAACGTATCTATCAGGAGCTTTAACAAGTAGGTGGTAAAACGCAGGAAAAAAAAGAGGAACAGTCGCATAAAGTACAAAGAAGTAAACTGCAAATCCAAAAAGGAGGTGAGCATAGAGCGAATGTGAGAAGAAGAGAAAGTGAACAGAAAACTGTGACTGAGAGTGAAGTTGGAATGAAAGCTGTTTTTAATAAAAGTCCCTTGATGACAAGTCACAACAGGCAGTCTCGGAGGGTGATGTGACTCACGTTCCGTCTCAGGAATAGAGCTGCTGATGGAGGAGCTGGTGGAGGTGACAGTGCTCATGGAAGGGCTCATGCCATACGGAGGGTACACTCCGGTCATGGCCGCCGTGTGGGACACCCATGCAGCCGGGTCAATGGGCCGGATCGGCTCACCTGTCGAATAAAACGTAGGGAAGGCAGCTGGAGTTGGTTAGCTTGCTGCAAAATCCCAACATTTGCATAGGTTTTATTGACACGGGGGGAGAAGCAAATACTCACTTCTGGGCAGAGCAAAGCAGCTCCGGGGGTTTGGATCCCAGCACTTTGCAACAGTCAGAGTGATGGGGCTGGTAATAAACACACAGACGGTTAATACTGATGGTGGGAAACACAGAGGAGCTCAGGATACAGCTGCCTCTCATAAACATCGGTATCATGATTCAGCATTTCTGTGACACTGCAAGACATTTATCTACGATACATCATGATATCTGCCTAACTAAAGAAGAAAAGAGACACGTATGTATTTATTGTAGTGTGTCATCAGTGTGTGTGTATTTGCTCTCTTTGCTTTCCCTCACTGTCCACCAGTCCCCCCTGCAACTTTCTTCTTCTTTAGCATACGTTAGTTGACATTTGTCACTCTTTAGACTGATTCATTTGATAAGTACCACCACCAAGAACCATTATGTTGTGACACAAATAAGTCAGACTGGTGGATGAGTTTTAATAAAAACATTGATAGTTGGCGCCAGTACATTGATAATGTATGATAACGATAGTGACCACTAATCTAAAACACACAGAGCAGTATCAGCTTCTACTAGAATTCTATTCTGCTCTTGTTCTACCCTCATGTTTTATGCATGCACCTAAAGAAGATGTGTGCCACTTACCCTGGCTTGTGCACAATGTCTCTCAGTACTCGAACAGCGTCGTCGTTGCTCATGTTCTCGAAGTTTATGTCGTTCACCTACATGGATGAAAAATGGCAGGAAAACGTTACAGTGACTCAGTCTGTGCATGCGTGCTTGACAGAGGTCTAAGTCATGGTAATAATAAAGGATGGGCTCAAAACTGAATTATATTCCTGCATGAAGAGGTATGAAACTCTCACAGGTTCACAATCACTCCGATAAATTCTGCTGCACAAAATTAACTTGTCAGTGTTTCAACATGAGGTGTCACATTAGAATGGAAGAATGAGTTTTAGCCCTTTGCAGCACAAACATATTTTACAGTATTTTAAAATATGACTGCGACACTGTGGCAGTAAAGGGAGTAGACGTGAGCAGCGTAAATAGGAAAAGATTGCAGAAAGCGTGGCACTGACACACGTGTCCGATTGGAGAGAGAAACCTTTAACTGATCTCACATTACCGACTTCTTTCACTCCACTGAGGGAGCTGGTGTCAAACGTAAATACAACATGCACCTCTTACACACACACACCTTCCTGATCCAAGCCCCAGGTATGCACCAACACATATTTTTCAGGTCTCTGTGTGTGTCTCGCTCTCTCTCTCGCTCTCTCTCGCCCTTGACACACAAACACAGACACACACCTGTAACAGCATGTCCCCAGGCTCTATGCGTCCATCTGCAGCCACAGCTCCTCCCTTCATGATAGAGCCGATGTAGATTCCGCCATCTCCCCTCTCATTACTCTGCCCCACAATACTGATGCCCAAGAAGTTGTACTTCTCTGAGAGGTGGAGAGGAACAGAGAGAGCATGTTCACAAGTGAAGTGAAGCAGCATTGAAGCAAGTAGAGACAGAATAGATGATCATGACCTGCATCAGTATGGAACAAATTAGTGATATTTGTGCGCTTTCATGTGTTGCTAAAGGAATTTTTGACCCCAAAAGCTCAGTATGTGACTTTACTCTATCTCTATCCCAACAGCTAATTTTATTCTGTGAGCACATGGACATGTCACTTACCCATGTTAAGCGTGACGGTGATGATGTTCAGAGACATGGTGGAGTCAGTGATGCTGCTAAATGATGAAGACTGGAGGAAAGAATGAGAATATGAGAAGCAGGATCAAAAGCTAAAAACTGAAAGACAGTTTTATTACATACAGCTTCAGTCTATTTTGCTGTGCTTAACATTTAGGAGTTTAGAATCTCACCCTGTCCATATTGGAAGCTTTAGGTTTCCGTCGGCGACGGCGGTGTCGCCTCATTAGACGAGAGGAGCTCTGCTCAGTGGAGCTACTAAACCTGAAGAAGAGAGGTGCTGGTTAAAATAATACACGTGCCAACACTGTAAGCAATAACAAACAAGGTTTTTGCTGTATAATTATTCAAAAAAAAAAAAAAAAAAAACATACTCCATCTAAAAGCAGTTATAAGAAAAATTTATTTTTTTAAAACCTAAATCAAGGTAAAAAACAAAGACAGATTGGAACAAAAAATAACTCGTACAGAATCTGTTCTCCCCTGGTAACCTACAGAAAAGTAAAGTGTAAACCTTTCTATTACCTACTATAAAGGAAGACCTTAAAACATGGGCTGAATTCCAAATCACATCCGTTTTCTTTTTACTTTAAGTACGTACCAGAGCTGCCCTCATGAAGTGCATACTGTTTCATGCAGTATGTATACAATGAGGACATACCACTTTGTTATCATTCTTTGCATTAAGCTTTGACTGTTGCAGTTTGTTGTGCAAAGTGAGCTGTCACCTGTCGACAGGTGGCCGAAGCTGAGCTATAGTCACAAAGACACCGTGACACATGTGACATAACTGTACGGAGGACTGTGGGTCAGAAAAGCCAGAAAAGCATCTTGGCTTTCATACTGCAAAGTCCAACTGGATGTAGTAGGAACCCTGGTATTTTTAGCATACTACATTTAACACACTATGAAGTGGGACATACTAAATCTTTTTCCGGCATACTCTATAGTAAGGTGGTATGGATGCTGGAACACAGCCAGAGTTTTCATAACAGAAGTGACGTCTGCCAACAGTCAGGACCAGCTTTAACAGATTGTTAGACAGCATCCAGCCTTCATTTGGAAACTATAATCTGGCTGACAAATCATCTGTTGGTGCCAGAGGCAGAAATCAATTTGTGTGGTGGAAATAAACTAAGCTTTCATCCAGATCTATTAGAAATGCAACAACAGGAAAAAAAACATCCAGTCAGATGCCTAAAGACTGAGACCAGCAGAGTCTCTAAAGTGGGCTGCAGAGATTTCCACGACTCCTGGAGGAGAACCCAGGGGGTTTACCACAAACCAGACAACAGGCTTTTTCATAGCAGCCAGTTTTAATATGAAATAGTGGGAAAACACTGGTGTTCCTGATAAAATTAACAACAGTTCTGGTTTAATTAGAAACAGAACCATCACTAATGTGATTAGTAACGCCTGTGTTTACTATTTCATACTAAAACGACTGCTGTGAAAAAGGTCTACTTGACTGCACTAATCTCCACCATAAACCAACTATTGTAATTCCAGACACATTCCCGAAGCCGAATGCCTTTTCTCATTGGGGACTGTACTTATAAACAAGCTGCACAGCTACACTGAACAACTGACCTGCTGGTTGCGTCGTCGTCCTCGGAATCAAAGCAGGAAGTGGACTCTAGCTCGCTGCTCATGAAGGACGAGCAGCTGTCGTACTCGGGGCCTCCGCGTCCCATTCCTCGTGATGAATACCCATTCTGCCTCCCACCTGCAGACGGACGGCATTTGATCAAAATGAAGTTGTTGTATTCAAAAAGATGAAAACTTAAGGTCCAAAAAGAGTGGCCTTCTCTGTTTTTAATGCTTCGTCGATTTACAGTTTAAGACCAGCTTCCCTCAAATCACAGCCGATCCTTATTGATCAGTATTCAGTACGTGAACGGTAACTATCATGAATAACATATTTATCACAATCTTCACAGCATATTCACCAGATTTTATTCTAACTGCATGAGCTTTCCACAGCAGCGTGGTTTTATTGTAACTCCACATGAGATGATCAAGTAAACCAAACTTACCGCATCTCTAAAGCTGCTGTGTCAACACTTTGTTTTTAAATCAACCAGATAACTGCATTGAACGAGTTGTGAAAATGATGGAAATGAAACTGACATGCACACAAAAATCCGACCAAACATCTTTCTGACCGTGGTCGTTGGTGTGTTTCCGTCGCGGCCTCTCCCTCTCTCTTCTTTGCGACACCATGGAGCCGGTCTCTGTGTCGTTGTCCAAACTGTCCCGACCGCTCGCTGCTTTCCCGCTACGAACAGAGGCACAGGAGAAAGAGGGAGCGTTAAAAAGTGACAGAATTAAACTGCATCAGCCACTAAAACCAACGTTTAAATGGTTCTTGTTAGAATCAAACTGTAGCCTGTGTCGAGTGTGCTGGCTTCTCTGGTTGGGTGTAATTAAGCGTCTTAATCTGTGGCTGAATGTTTGCCAGGAATTGCAGATGTTGTGTTGATTCATTTATTTCAGTCTGGTGAGCATTAAATTTCATTACTACCATGTGTCTTATACAAATTTTACACTTTTTCTTTAACCTGCAGTGGAACCAGATTGCCCAAAACCTGGCACTGACTATATCAGATTCTTTTCGACAAATATATTAAACCCCTCAAAGACTAGAAACAGAAATCAGAAAAATCCCTGCTCTACAGGGTTAACTCAAATCTATGATTAATTTCCAGAGTGGCCATAACCTAATGATAAATGCATGCAAGGAATTCCTCCTGCGCAGTCATACTTTCCCATTTAATTTGCTGTTTCCTCTCTTACTGCAGTTATTAAAAGAACAGAAGGACTCATTCAGTTTGCAGGGCATCCCCTTCTTTCACAGGCACATATTACGCAGAATGTCTATTATCAAATAAGTGACTTCTAAATATACTGACTGGTAGGAGGGAGGTCTTGAGTCTCCGATGCCCCCGGTCCTCTCCAGAGGTGGTGCTGGCTCCAAACTATCTGCCACCGAGCCTGCGTCTGTGTGGGCGCCATCTCCAGAGACCAACTGTCAACAGACAGAGTCAGGTCAGTCAGAGGGAAGAGATAAACACTCAGCGGGGAGAATGCACTAAAAGACACAGAACAAGTGGGACGTAGACCCACATAAAACTACCTCTGTGTTATATATGTGTATATATACTACACCATAGTCACGGGCTGGGTGGTATGTCTTGTTTTAGTCTTACCGCCTATAGGCTTGTCAGCATTTGCAAGACAGTAAAAACACCACAAGCTGCTTAATTTCTAAACGTATGATGTGGGATACAAAAATACACCAAACCTCTACTTTAAAGGACTACAAACTTACTTACTGGATTGTCTCCTAACCTGTTAATGTAAATCTTTGCGGATAAACATTCCTCTTTTCAGAATGCTCAAGTTACCAAGAACTATACAGGATGCATACAGTTTTACAAATATAAAGAAAATAAAGGGATCTGAAGTCATATTGTTCAAAAACCACAGCCTTGTAATTCTGTCTGTAACTGCAACGCTGCTTCTTTGTAGTTGATTAAATGTTTTCGACTATCCGCTAAATAAAGAATTGTAATTGTAAATAAATAAAAGCACAACTTAATCTGGTTTCTGCAATTTCCTACTGAGCAAGCAAAGCTACACAAAGGCAGCTGTGAATTCAAAGAGCTGAGAAAAAAAAAAAAAAAAAAGAGCCTGCGCCAAGACTTGTGTGGTTTGTCTACCTGACAGTGTTGCCTAAGTTACCAAAGTGTGGGGAAAAAAATGGGCACCAACGGACCATGGCTAAGTTTTTTGGGGGGGAGGAAATTATATTACTGGTAGATTTTTTTTACTCTGCTGTTTACATTTCCACCTTCGTTCACTTCTACCACATTCCAGAGTTCATTCATCCTGCATGCTCAAGAATATGCATTTTTTGCATTCTACCGTGAAGCCTGACTCTTGGATGGTGTCCATATTGGAAGTAAAGCATGTATTAGCATGAAAAAACAAGCCGACATGAAATCAAATGAAATGGTCTCCACTATTACCAGCCAACAGCTGGTTAAGGATTGAATATTTGCTCTGTTAGCTGTTGAAGGGATATTAATGATGATTATTATTGAACAATATTTCTATACATGATGTGTAGCTGTTGTACAAAACTGATTCAAATGAACATCATACACTTTTTTGTGCACTTTGTAAAACAGTTTAGTTTCTGGGTTGACAGACGAATCAATTATCTGTGTAGTTAATGACTAAAAGACTGCAACAGACACATACGGAGAGTGACAGAGTTTACATTACACAACGCAAACAAGTGCATGTTATATGAATTTCGCAAAGGTAAAAAAAGATGGCAACGTTCTGCCCGTGGTAATCATGAGCCCCAGACTTGTATTTGACGGTTCGTTGAGTTCAGCAATAATTGAGTGTAAAGAAATAACTCAATACATAAAATTTGTCATCTGACAATAAAGCACAGCACAGCAGATTTAGTGTGCTGGCCTGTTGTGATAATGTGATTCGCAGCAGGCCCGGCCCGCGGACCCCAGAGAACAATCAGTCAGATCACTGAAACAACAGATGAACAGTGGAGACAAACAAATGGACACACTGTAACCGAAATAACATTTCATTGTATGTGGAACATTTCAACAATCCCCCAAGAGACAACAGACATTTTCACGCACACACACAAAGAGAGGAAATGACTTGTAAATACGACCGACCAAACCTCCACACAGTCTAATGAAAATGACCACAACAAGGGACACATTGGGATGAACATGCTGGATTATACACTCAGACATCCAGCAATAGCACTGTGTTGATGACGAGAAAAAAAAAAAACAACCCATAATTAGGATCACACTGTGCAAAGTTCACCAAAATACATCAGCCACTCACATCGACACACAGAGCTGTCTTTCTCGCAGCTTTATTCTCTCCTCCTAGCAAGATTCAATCTTCTTGTTAGGTGGCATGCAGTGAGGCTCTTTGTTATTTAATATTTTCCTCCTATCCTGTGATTTCACTTGCTCTTAATCTAATTCCAATGTTGAGAAGAGAGGAAGGGAGGCTGTGCACGAGTGCCAGATGTCTCTTGTGTTGTGGAGAGAGGAGAATTATTGCTTAGAGCCATTTCAGAGATACATGCGTTACATGTGGATGACGAGCCTGTGTGAGAACTTAAAACTGGATTTGCCGGAAAACTAACGCAGCTCATTTCCCTCAAAAGCGATGAATAACACAGTGCGTTGGAGGAGCGCAGTGTGTGCGTGTGCCTGTGTTGCTCTGGCGATCATTACGCGATAATGATATTATCACGCAGATGCGTAGAGCCTCTCCCTGGAGATGAAGTATGGTTGTGGTCAGTGCTGAACAGATGGGAATCATTGTTACACGTGCATGCACACAGTTGCCACACACATACACAGACAAACAAGCAGCAACAACAACAAAAAAAAGTACTCCAGAATGCATTTTAAACTTACCCATGACACCACACGTCCATTGAAGCAGGGCAGCTTCGCGTTGTCGTCAGATATTTCTTCTTTTACCACCCTGTAAAGACAGTAAAGCTCTGTTTCAGTCAACCGTTACCAATACAAAGACGATCTCTGGGCAGTAAAACATGAGTGTGCGTTCAGAGGCAGTGGGGATGTGCTGTACATCCATCAACCCGGACAGACACTGACAACTGGGACGACCTAACTATACTTGCGGTGCACACTGGCAGCCAGTGCCGGACAGTTTTACGCATTATTAATGCTCAATGACACTGTTCAACAGTATCCCAGAATATCAGGGGAAAGGCCATCATCGCTGCACGCCTGAGGCTGTGGACACAGACAAGGAAAACCAGTCAAAAGAGGGCAGCTCATTCAGGCATAATACAGAAGAAATCCTAAGTGCCTGTCAATACACCAAAGACTGCTAAAAAGAAATTAACAAAAGGGATGTGGCCACGTGAAGCCTTCCGGTCAACGAGGCTATGGTGGCGTGCACGAATCAGAGGTCAGACTTCAGCAACCTTTAGTCGCACAGCAAACAGGACAAATCAGGAACACACTAAACAACAGCCTCAGACTACTGGGCAGGATTGTGTGTGCCTTTCAGGGGCAGATTGGTGACGGTCAGTGAGACTTTCTTGGTAAATAAAACAGGCTCCAGAGCAGTCTGACAAGTTGCTCAATCTAACAGTGTAAAGTAAAGGCTTTAATAGTTTATTTACAGAAAATCCCTCCACTCTCAACCACATGAATAGCTGTGAGACTTCAGAAAACATGTCTTTCCCACTTGCAAACGTTCTTAAGTTCTTGCCCCACCCTGGTTTAAGTTTAGCCAGAAACAACTTTGGAAACCTGGATCAAAAAAACGAGTACATTTCCCCCTTTCTGTGCTCTGGAGAAGGCTGTCTGCAGGCACATAAAACGTCTACTTTTCGGGCCATGTTTTAACACAAAAGGACATGCTCATAAAGCTGCCAGAGTGATGAACAGGGCATTCCTGTGTCCAACTCTGCATTCCTGGGGCTAATAGACAACAACAGCAGGGGCCTGCTGCTGGACTCACTAACACAAACTGCCCGTATACATTCTGACATTAGCCTGCTAGCATAGGCTTTCCATACATTAGCCTAAAACTGACAGTAGTAAGGTCAGTAACTAGTTAATAACGGTGCTGTCAACTACTCACGTCCCTACTTTGTCTAATAAAAGTTAAAATGACATTTGAGACTTTCTCCGGTGCTCTCGAAAGGGACAAATACCAAACTTGGTCAGACAAATTCAAGGCACCAGGACGCATAGCTAGCCACACAAGCAATGTAAACAAACGGGCTCGGGACGCTAAACAGACCTGCTGCTAACGCGTCGCTAGCAGCTAACAAAGAAACAGCAAGGCAAGTAGCTAGCAAAGGATCGGCAGCCAGGTACCGATAAAACCGATGACAAGCCGGCTGGAAGAGGTCACAAATGAGTTAATGTTAATCTAGCCGCACAGAGGTTAAGTAAAGTCAGGAGAGTAACGCTGAATCCACGTTGAACACAATAAACCCTTTAACAGTTACCCGAAGTCATCGTCCATAGATTTGAAGAAGAATTTGTAATTTGGTTTCTTGAGGACATTTTTGAAGTCCGCCAGAGTGACTTTGTCCGCCGGCACCGACAGTTTCACCAGATACGGTGTCTCCTGGTCGTCGAGGTGGTAGATAATTTTGGTCTCCCCCATCTCGGACTGCGGCTAAGGCAAGGCAGGCTGGGTGCATCAAGCCGAGGGCCTGGCAGGCTCCCTCTCGGGCCCCGACTCCCCGTGGCGCTGGCGGCGGCTGTGCCGTGGTCCTCCCGGCTCTCTGGCTGACCGACTCGTCGCGTAGTCCTGGTTCGGTCTTTCCTACGCCAGCTCGCTAACGTTCCGCCTGCCCTTTCAGTTTGAAAAAAACACCTTGCTCCTCCACAAAGCGTCCTAACACCGTCCGGAGACCGAGTCGCGCTAGTTTCCGCTTGTAATAAACTTCCAATGTGCCGCCGAAAGCTTGGAAATGAGTGGAGAAGGAAGAAAGGCAGCTGAAATACGCAGCAGGAATAAACAATCTCAGAAGGGTCGGTTTTCCCTTCTCGCCAGCTGCCAAGCTCGGTACTTTGTTGCACACGAAACTGCACAAAATCGGTGAAGCCTGTCCCGGAGGGGCGCCATCCGCAGGAGAGGAGGAGAGCCGCAGCTTCCCGAGCACAGCGCTGCCTGCAGGCCGCAGAGGCGCTCACAGCGGTGGGGCACCGGGCCGCCAGCCGGAGGGGCCCCCGAGCCTCAGCTTTGACCTCAGGATAACAAGCTGACCAAAGTCACAGTTGTTTGTCATGTTAACTGTAAAACTACTGTCTAAATGGTGCGTCTGACCGCTGGTTAACCCTATTCAGGACTTTTGGGGTCGTTTGGACCCCAGGCCATTTGTTTTTTTTTTTTATTTTTGAAGAATATATATTTTTTTCAAAGATAAAAAGAGGGACATTTGTCATGCATTTGAAATCCAAAATACATAAATGTATCAGAAAAGGTATTGAACAAAGTATAAAAGTCTATAATAAATACCAACAAATATTTTGCACATATTCTTTCTTGGGGTCCAGTGGACCCTCAAAGACCTTCTACATGTGGAAACATGAAAGTCCTGAATAGGATTAAATCAAAAACGAACTCCCTGAACCCCAATCAGTTTATTTGCTCCTGTCACATTGTTCCTCACTGTGGACCAATTTTTTTTTATTGCAATATAAAGTCCTGCATCACCAAATGTCTTATGTGCAGTGTCACAAAAATGAAGTTGTTTTTTTTTTTTTTTGGTTCATTTATTTTACAGAAAGAAGACAAATACTTGAATCAACATGTGCACGATTTTTTCCATGTGCCCACTGTGTTACCAACACAAAAACACATGCTATAGATATATACATTTTTACAACCTCTACAAATTCATGTTTTCACACGACTCTGCACATCAACTCTAGAAAGATGTTTCACCATGCTGGCTGAATGTATCTTCCAGCAACTTGCTGATTACGTTCCCCTTCACCTATAGTGTTTTTGAGCCATTTATTTTATTATATTATATCAAGTATATCTGTTTTTTTCTTACAGCCTCTCTGCTCTGTATAAACACAGCCTGAAAAAAATTTTGTCACGTGGTTGATGGTCACAGTTGAATCCATCATGGCTTCCCAGTGGAGCTGAGGAACGCAGGATTTTTTGTTTTTCTCCAGGATCTGGTGGAATCGGTTCTTTATTGGCAATTTTTTGAACAAGACATGTAGAATAAATCAATGAGATATCTTAACTTTTACAACAAGTATAATCTGAAAGTTGAAGTTCTGATGTTTCTTTATATTTTTATAGTTTCTGGCTCCGATCAATGTTGTAATTTTGGAGATTTTCAAACCAGCTGTCAAGATCTGGGGTTCAGAGAGTAAACACACATTTCTGGACTCTGACTGTAGCCAACACGCTTTCCAAAACTTTCAGTTATGTACTGGCAACACATGATAAAATGAACTAGCTACTACTGTACACTGGCCTTCACTCTCAGATGTTTTCAAATAGAAAGACAACATGAAATACATGATTGTCTGTGTTATGACTAAGTCCTAAAAGATGGAGTTGCAATGAATGAATACGGCCTTGAAAGCACTGAAGATACACTCCATCCAGTATCAGAGTTCAAATAGTAATTGATATGTGCTGTAATCACTGAACAAAAAAATAAGTAGGAATAAAGGAAACATACAGTTGTTTTATTTGCATGAGTGGAAGCTCACATTATTCCTGAATATAACATCATCCAGGGACAACATGTTGAATATTTTATGCATTTTATCACTTTTGCACCTTCGATTTTCTTCATCTCTGCTGTAACGCACATAACAAACGTCAGCATTCCGGTGAATTTAATCAACATTGTAGCAAAAACCAAGGATCTTACAGTTTAAGTCTTACTTAGCCTTTGTACACCCACACAAGTGTTTTCTTTTGATGTCTCTTTAGATTCTTATGAGGATTATGTAGATGTGTACAGACCGTGCCACTCATTTTCTCTTTATGTTCTTGCACCCACTGTAGCAGACAAATGAGCCCTTTATGAGGGAATGTTGAGCTTTTGTATTTCCTGTCATGGCACCACCCAACCCGAGTACGTGTCACATTAATTTCTCATTAAGTTTAATTTTGTCTTTCAAGCAAATCAAAGAGATCAGTTATGAGTTATTCCACCGACATGCTGGAGCTTATTTTTGATATTTGTGTAACACCAGCTACAGAATCTGGCCAATCACTTGCAGCTACCTCTTGTGTCGACACCTTTGGATGCCCAACATTTACATGGGTAGCACGACACAAATTGTAACATGTTAATAGCTCATTTATTCCTCTCAGTTCAATCAAAGGCTTCTGCTTCTGGGACCTCTTGTCATTTTATTATTGAGTTGAATTACATTAACCTAAATGTGACACTGAGCCACTGCACACGATACTTAAAGGAAATGCAGTCATTAACATTTGGATGTCTTGGTGGTAGGGTACCCAGCAGTTGTAGATATTTTAGACACAAAATGAGCAGTATCGCAGTGCATTTAGCTTGTTTTTTTTGTGACAGCTATGTTTTGGAATAATAAAAGTCATATACAAGAAAGCCTTGAGGACGTGTATCCCTACTGATATCTGTGACTTTGTGTTGTATGTGTTTTGAACATGATTAATCTGGAGTATAAAATTCCTTAACTTGTCCGCAATAGGTTACTCAGGACATGTCTAATACACGTAATCAAGAACATTAATGAAGGCTATGTGTCTGTCATGTGTGCATATGCAGGTAGTTGTGCGCTCTGCTCCATTGGCATGTCTTTGTGGCACACAGACACACAACAGATTGACTATTAATTATATCTGTGCTGCTCCTGCTAAGAGAAGTTAAAATGTCTGCTGTGTGGAAAACGCCTGTTTGCAGCCTTTTCTTTGTGCAAAATGTTCTGTCAGGGCTAATCCTTGTTGTCTTTTTGGGGCGCAATTACAAGACTTATTGTCTATAGGGGTTGCAACTAACAATTATTTCCCCTGTAGATTAATCTGTTGATTTTCTCAGATGTTTGGTCTATCAAATGTTTCCCACATCCCCAAAACACACCCTCAAATGTCCTAATTCTTCCACAACTTTAAGATATTCAGTTTACTGTCATAGAGGAAGAAAGAAATCAGAAAATATTCAAATTTAAGAAGCTGTAATCAGAGAATTTGGACTTATTTTTCTTTAAAAATTAGTTCAATTGATTAATCAATCAACAAAATAGTTGGAGAATAATTTAATATCTTGTTTTCTTTAGCATACTGTCCCTGTTATGTTATGATAGACTTTTATATTAGAGTTAAAATATAAAACACCCAAAAAACAACCTGCCTTTATGAAACATTTATATTTCATAATGCTTAATTCTAAAATGCTTTTATTTAAATGTTCAGAGCAAAAACAGTCAGAATGAGGTTAGGTATGGAACACTCTTGAGTCAAATATGAATATGTACAGCAACCACAATTTATTGGACTGAATGAACTTCATTTTTCATTACAGACAATACAAAGCAGAGAGTAAATAACATTTTGCCCGATGGACAGTTAGTTAGCGATTCTCAAACGATCAATAAATGATGTACAAAATGAAGAAGTTGAAATAGATCTGATCTGTTTGCATTTCCTCTGAGAATAAAACATTACTGATATCATCATCTTCTACTTTAAACCCCATTACTGCAGGAGGCGAACGTGACGGTAATATTTTTTAAGTACAAATACAAAAAAAGGGGGGGAAAGGGAGTTTGGTCTCTTTCTTTCTCTTAAATATGCTCTGTGGAGGTGCTCGGGAGCAGAGTGGTGGTGGCAGGTCTCAGTCGTCTAGGAAGTCGTCATCGAGGTTAACGTCTGTGGTGTCGATGTCGTCCAGCTCCATGTTGTCCAGGTCCACCTCCAGCTCGTCCAGAGTCTACAGACACACACACAGGACAATTATTATTCTATTAAACATCCCAGCTGCTTGATTTAACATCAACTACCTGAACCTGTGCTATACCCAAAGTTGTATGTCAAAGTGGGTCAAAAAAATCTTATGATCCCAAAAAAATATCTGATCACAAACAGTAGAACTAAACTATATTTATCACCAAAGGGAAAACTAAAGCAAGCCTTACCTTATCTTTCTGTGACTCTGAGAACGTAGGGACTTCTTCCTCCTCCTCCTCTTCTTCTTCTGTAGCAGCAGCAGCAGGTTCAGGCTGCGAAGGCGTCACAGCAGCAAATGGAGCTGCTTCCACTGAGGTGGACTCTTCAGTATCTTGTGTCTGCCAGAAAACGGGAGTCAAAAAAATAAAGCTTAGATGGTTGTTGAGCTTTGGTTCCTCGAGCTTTTAGCGAAATCCTCTTTTTACAGGCAGTGCAGAACAATGCATGTGGGTGCAGACAAACCTTGGGGATGAGAGGAATGAAGGTTCCTTTGGGTTCGTATCCCTGGGCCTCCTCAAGAATGTTCCTGTCTTCATTGGGCTGAAAAATGGGAGATATACATTTATAATAATAATAATAATAATAATAATAATAATAGATCAGATTTATATAGCACTTTTCTCATTCAAAGACTAACTCAAAGACGCATACATTGGTAATTATTCATTCACACACATTCATTCCGGTGGTGGCATCACTGTTGTGATAACATTATTATTGTACATTTACTCTTTAAGTCATCCGCCGTCTCACTTTTGCAACAACTCATACAACTTACTGTAACAAGTGGATAGTCTTTAGCAGGCCTGGAGGTGCCCAAGCAGGACTCTCTCAGGTAATGTTCAGCTGCAAAGGCTTCTCTCAGCCCAGGGAAGAGATTTTCATACTCTGTAGGGTCTGCTAAGGATTCAGCTGCCTGCAATAAATATATATACGAACAGGTCATCTTCAAGAAAAATAAACTCTTCAGATATTTGTGTTCTTTTATTCTTGTACATTCAGAGCTCTCCAAACTAGCTAAAATAATGCAAAATAGCTATAATTTCCCACCTAAACTGAAGCTGCAATGTTTAAAAGAAATTTTTCACGGTAGAGCTGACCTTCTGGTTGACCTTGGCCAGGTTCTCCCTCCACAGTT